TATATATAAAGAAATATTTTGACATTATTTGATTCGTAATGAACCGTTACTATTTGGCTAACATAAAATTGTTGAATACTACTTTTATATAAAATGATATAGCTTATTATGATTTCTTCATTTACTATTATTCTATAATTTATAAAATAAAATAAAATAAAAAACTATTCACACATCAGTCTCAATATATTTTATAAATTATATATATTTACAAATCATTGTCTTTTAGCCAAACAAAAAAAAGTGTAAAATGTATTTTTAGTTTGAAGCAATGCTTTAAAAACACCAAATAATTTTTCATTGGAGGCCCTCAGAAATTGTGGAATACCATAATGATAACCAAAAAATCTGCAAATATATCTGATTGGATGAGTTGCTCTCCTTGCCTCTCATTACGTATTTGTGTGGTGAATCCTCAGTTACAGATGCATTTCAAAAAAGAAATGCATAGCTCATGTGAGAGTGATTTATCATTATAACTTGAAAGCCTTGCATTGTTGCAACACACAAATAAGTTTATGGTTTTATTACCTAACCATCTCTTAGATAGAGCATAACATGATTAATAGACAGATCAATTTATATGTACACACACATTTTAATAGATACAGTCACACATGAACACATACAGTCACACACACACTTCTTCAGCCTATGGTAAATGCTATGCCCATAATTCTTGAACAATGTATGGTAAATGCTATGCCCACAATTATGGGCAAGTAAACTGCTTTAAAGTAATTTATTTATTTATAATTTACAGCATATGGTAAATGATTGGCCTAATTTTAGCATTTCTGTTATTTCTACACTCAAATTGAATAACATTGGCCTAATTTCAATAACATCTCACCCCAAGCATTGCCCTAAATTTTAATTTCAATCACATTTCAATCACAATGCCCTAATTTCCAGCATTTCTTATCTGATTTTTGTGTGTGTGTGTGTGTGTATATATATATATATATGTACGTGTGTGTGTAACTACTACAAAAATAGTTAAAGATCACACTTTGACAAAAAAAAAATATCTCACTTTTATTGGAAGTGTGATAAAAAAAAATTAGATTGATATTTTAATCACACTTAATTTGATTAAGTGTGATAATATTTATTTTTTATATCACTTTTCAATTAAGTGTGATTGTGTATATATTTTTTTAATCACATCTTCTAATTAAAGTGTGATTATATAAACACTAGCACTTTTTAATCACACTTTTTAAATAAGTGTGATAATATTTATTTTTTATATCACTTTTCAATTAAGTGTGATTATATATATATATTTTTAATCACATCTTCTAATTAAAGTGTGATTATATATACACTAGCACTTTTTAATCACACTTTTTAAATAAGTGTGATTATATATATATACTTTTAATCACACATTCTAATTAAAGTGTGATTATTTATATATTTTTTAATCACACCTTCTGATTAAAGTGTGATTATATATACATTACTATTTTTTAATCACACTTTTTAAATAAGTGTGATTGTATAAAATATTCCAATTTGATTTTTAGATAAAATATACAATTCCTAATTTTTTTTTAAAAAAAAAGCCCCAACACCAAAACACAAATGAAAAAAAAAAAATCGTAAATAATAAAACTTTCTATGACGTGCATATAGCATGCCGTTAATATATTAACTATACACCATACACATATCCCAACTACTAAAAATATTAAATATTTAACGATGCACAAAAAATCAACCGTTAAAAATTATATACTTTCCACTACACATAATAAATCAATCGTTTAAAATATTACATTTTTCACAACACACAATTATTATCATGAAAGGTGCTACTAAGAAAAAAGGCGCTAAATAAAAATTAATTTGCGCCAAAACTGAAAAATACGAAACTTTCAGCCAAAAATATTAAAATTAAAAATTAAAAATTAAGAAATTTTCATCTCTTTCCATGGACTCTCTCGCTCCATCTTCATCCCTCATCACCACCGACATCCTTTACTCTACTACCCTAAACCTTTCTCTCACTCACGCTCACTGATTGACCTTTCTCTCCCTCTTCTCCAACCCTCTTCACCGACCTCATAGCTAGCGCACACTAATAGCTGCTTCGATTGCCCCTGGTGAGTGGAAAAAGAGGGAAGGGAGAGAGTGAAGATTGTAAGGCGGTGTGTTTAGGGTTACAAAGGAGGCCATGGTAGAAGAAGAACGATGATGGAAGTGGAGGAGAGACTCTCCCCTTGTTTTCACAAACAGTCTCCTCTCTCTCTCTCTCTCTCTCTCTCTCTCCATCCTTCCCCAGGTATTTATTCCCTCCAATTTTCTTCATATTTATTTGCTTTAGATTGCTTGAGATTTGTTGAAATTTCCTTTTTTTTCTAAAAAAAAAAAAATCACTTGATTGCTTCTGTTAATTGCTTCAGATTTCTTGATTTATAGCATAATTTATGCTGAAATTTTCTGTTCAAAATTGGTGAAACAATTTCTGTTTTTTTAAAAAAATTATTTTAAACAATCTGTTTCTGTAAACAAATTTTTTCTTTATATTTGTATCCTTTTGTTTTTGTTTTTTTAATGGATTTAAAACTAATATGGGTGAGAGTATTTTGGTATTTTTGATAGTTTCTTATTAATTTTGATGGGTTTATGATTAATTTTGTTTGGTTTAATTGACATAAATCCTTTTAAACTCTAGATTTATTTTTAGTGGGTTTATGATTTTTTGTGCTAGTTTTGAATGCTGAGTTCAATCTTTTATATTGGCCATTTTGGTATTCTGTTTTCTAGATGTCAACTCTTTACAATCTAAGATATTCAGGAGCAAACAATGAAATATTTAGCAAGACTTTTGAGAGCTTTAAGTGGGTCACGGTCCCTTTTCCACCCCCGGTTCTACCTTTGTACATGTTACTGCTAGAGAAGGAGAGTTGGAGAGACAGAGAGGCCTCCATATATGTCAAAATTAGTGAAAGATAAGATGTGTTTGCCTCAAGGCATCAGTAGAGGGGCTATTTATAGATATTTTCACTTTTGGCTTTGGCTGATAAAATGGTGACACCTGTTTTATGTTTGTTAAAGTGCTGTAATCTTTTTCCCATCTGGCATCCCCTTGGTGCCTTCCAGTCACTAGCATTACCTCTTATTCCCCCTAGATGATTAGCTCCTTGAAGCCCCTAGATTGATCCCACAACATAACATGAAAACGGCTTCCTAGTGCTCACACCTACCACTTTGATGGACCGTATTAATAAAATTGTCAATTTGTCTAAGGTTCCATTTCATCTTTTGGACGAATTTGCATCACTAGTCTAGGTGATCATCTGTTGGCTGTGCTAGAACCTGTTATAAGTAGTTGCCTTGTTAAGGTAATGTCTGTGGGTCTTAGTATTAAATTATTTCTTAAATGAATGCACTTTGTTTTGATCATATTAGATGATATGATACCTGGTTATGAGCAACCATTTATTTTGGAATTCTGGTGCTGTAATAAACTTTAGTTTAGTGTTTGTGTGTTTGGGCATCCCTGCTGGTTCTTCTACATGTTCAAATGCAAAAGATTTTGAGGGACCCTCTTTTGAATTGTCTAGGCATGGTGCACTACCTCTTAGTGCAGTCCGGATCTTTGGATCCCTTTTGGTGTATATTTTCTTTGGATGGGTGCTATATTTGTGTTTTGTAGTTATTGCACCTTCTCTGGTCTTAGTCTCAAAATTGGCAAAAAAATTCAAGGTTCTGCTAGAAGTCATCTATAGCTTACACAACAAACATGGATAAATATAGTCATTTGGCAATTCAGATACATATCACACAGAGAAAATTATGTTTGCTGTGTCATATACACTCATCTAAATTTTAAAGTAATTATTTTTTAAAATTTTAAAAGAATTAAGTAATTATTTTTAAAATTTTTAAAAGAATTACAATTGAGACAAAGCCCGATATGACTTCTAATTTTAACATTTTTTCTTACAACAATGATTCATTCCACTAAAAACATCACCACTAATAGCACTAATGCATTAAAAAAGTAAAAAAAAAAAAAAAAACACAACTCCAAGACCAAAACATCACATCATTAATGGCAGGACCCACTGCCACCTAATTAGTGGGAGCACTAATTAGTGCTCCCAAGCATTTTTCTTTTTCTTATTAGATAGGTAAAGACATTATCAACCATGTCAACTCCACCAGCCTTGGTTGCCCATAATAACAATTGATTTTTGTTCGGAAGTATATAGATGAAGACTTGGTTTTTGTTCAAAAATTGATAGAAATTGATATCCGAATGAAAAGCACCAAAATTTTATAGAAACCATTGGATTCTCAATTTCTTTTCTTTTTGAAATTGCGAAAGAATCTTCTATATTCATTCTCAGTAGCCCGACACCCTTAGGTATGACCCTTTTCTTCAATAGACGACTACATGGATTTGTAATTAGAAAAAAAAAAACTACCTTTTGTTTGGTCCTCTAATATATTAGTTTATATTGAATATTTTTGTCTAATATACGTTAATGCATTGCAAATTATGGTTAAAAAAATATAACTATAGTCGACATTATTTGTCTAAATTTTTGTACATAATATTTGTAACCCTCTCCGTCCTTGCTCATAGGGGTTGTCGTTTGAACTTTGAACTTAAGAGTTACAATGGCTACTGCTGCAACATTTGGTGCTACAAACACTACCACCGCTACTGCCGCCAACAAAGAGTACGATTATTATCGTTCCTTCAATCATGAGAAGAGCTTATGCTCATTGCTCACACCACCTAGACATCATCACAACTCTCCTCTTCATAGTCGTTTATTTCCTCATCATAAATTAACACCTATGACAACTTCTTCATTGGCCATCCCAAGTGAATAGTTTTAATTTTAGGTTTATTTTCCTTTTTAAATTTAATATGAAAACTATTTGTGTGTTAATCATGTCTATCTAATTTATTTATTTTTAGGCTTTTGGCCTAATGTTGGAGTGGGTGTGAGCAGTGAAGATGATCTTTCTCGGACCTGATCTTTGTCGTTCGCATGCACAACAGCTGTTCGACATTTGACGAGATCTCTTACTGCAACTGAGGGCCTTCGCTTTGCTGTGGTCAGTCTATTTATTTTTTATGTCCACCTCTCTCTTGTTATTTAGCATTTGTTTGAATGAGCACATGGGATTTATTCAATTTCATCAATGAATGCTTCACTTTGTGCTTATATGCATATGTTTTATGCATAATGTACTATGAAATTCTATTTCTAGCTGTGCATTCATGTTTTTCAGTTCTATGTTGGTCGCATTTCCACATTTTCCCTGAACATTCAAATATATTCCAATTTCTGGCCATGTAACAATGTGTTCTACTTTGTCTCTTCATATTAATGCTCTCATTTCATTGCAATTGGTGGTTATGCCTTAACAAAATTTTACAACCTCTTCATTCACAACGCCTCTCTCTCCCCTACGAATGAATCTTTTAAAAAATGACTCTTTTAAAATTATGTAGTTTTTATTTATTTACTTTTTGCTCCAAAAAAAAAAAAGAAAAAAACAAGAGGTAAATTGCAACTTGATTTGATGATTAAGTAATCTAGGTAATGTTGGTTCAATTAAATATTTGCAGTAGTTCAATTTATATTCTATTTTGATGTGTATCCCTTTGATGTTTCTAATAATTTGTTTCCGTTGCAAAGGTTGTGGCACGGTTTAATGAGATTGTGATGAAGCTGCTTTTGGAGGGAGCTTTGGACACGTTCAAGAGATATTCAGTTAAAGAAGAAGACATTGATGTATGTAGTTATCTGGAACCCTTTCAAAAGTTGGCTACTTTTTTTTCCCTCTTATTGTGTTCCTTTGTTGGTAGATTTGTTCACCTAGATTTCCATCTCTACTGGAATAGGTAACAGATGCCTAACCTGCATATCTTGAATGTGTGAAGGGTATAATATCACTGGATTTCTGATCCATGACTTGATTTTCTATATTATAAGTGAAAATGTTGTCTCATTTGGAGTGCCTGATTGATGGGGTGATTTTGATGCGTGACTAGCTCCATATTTGTCATACATGACTATTTTTCCTCGATGTGCTAAATTTCCTGTCCTGGGCCTTGTCAGATCTGCCTGTGCATCTGATGGCAAAGAATCACCACCTTTTGGATAGGTTATAACCAAAAGTACTTTGATTAGTCAGGGATTCACCTTAATGAATTGCTAAATTGAATGTCATGCGGAAAAAGTGAACATTTGCTGTGGTAAAACAAACCTGGTCTGACATGATTTAGAATATTTCAGATCACTATCATGTTAAAACATGAGTTGGCTATTATTTATTGGGGTGGAATTGTTGGTGCTGATGTGGATAAATGTAGCACGAATCATGTAATGCTTTCATCATTCCAATTGTTTTACATGGTCTGTGGTCATTGTTTTGCTTGAACACTCATTAATAATAGGTTCAATTATTGTATGTATGTATCAGGTAGTGTGGGTTCCTGGTAGTTTTGAAATTGGTGTTGTTGCAGAAAAGCTTAGGAAGTCTTACAAATATCAAGCCATATTGTGCATTGGAGCTGTGGTCACAAGTTTTTCTTTTTAAGGTTGCCATGGGAGGGTTTTTTGGTACACGGCTTCATGTCAACACACGTGTCTGGAGTTTAAAAAGTCTCTCTTGAGTTCTCTCCCTAGAAACTCACCTGTCCTAGAAAAATAGTTTGGATTTTGGTTACTAGATTTATTTCTTTTGTAACAAATATAAGAAATTTAATAACGTCCAACTCTTAAATAATATTGATCTAGGCTTTGTTCAGATTGATTGAGCCTGTAGACGGCAGAATTATTATAGACAATACTGATATTTCAACAATTGGCCTTCATGACCCCCGTAGCCATCTAAGTATTATACCCCAAGATCCAAACTTATTTGAAGGGACCATTAGGGGCAACCTTGATCCCCTCCATGAGCACTCAGATCAAGAAATTTGGCAGGTCAAACTCAACTACTTACCTTTTTTGTCTTCATTTTTCTAAGTTTTGAAAAAGAAAATCTTAAACTGTAACAGTTCGGCCAAGTGAAGTCCATAAAATAAACTGTTAGAAGAAATATCCCAGATATTATGGATAGCCACAACTATTTTAAATTGTTCTGAAATCACAAGTGATCCCATTTTTTGTAATATGAATTCCGTAGTTCCTTCTATAAATTCTTGCCAAAAATTTGTTGTTAAAGTTTGGCTTTCCAGTGTTTATTCCCAAACTTTTTTGCGAGTTTAATGTATGGGCATGTTATGATTACCCGAAAGACTGACCTTCTTAATGATTCTATTTTGATTTGGAACAGGCACTTGAGAAGTCTCAGCTAGGGGATTTTGTTTGCCGGAAGGAGAAAAAGCTAGATACACCAGGTATTTGCACTAAATATTTGAGCATTAAATTTAAGCTCTATTATTAATATTACATCTAGAAGCTTTCCTTTTGGCATGTCTAAGACCAGTTGATAATTGTATTTGTCTGAAATTCATAGTTCTAGAGAATGGAGATAATTGGAGTGTGGGCAGCAGCAACTTGTTTCCCTGGGCCGGGCTTTACTAAAATAGGCAGGAATTTTGGTTCTTGATGAAGCCACTGCTTCAGTTGATTCAGCTACAGATAATCTAATCCAGAAGATCATCCGAACAGAGTTTAGGAACTACATTGTGTGCACTATTGCTCATCGTATCCCAACTGTTATTGACAGTGATCTAGTTCTGGTCCTCAGTGACGGTGCGTACACTAATACTTCCCATTTCTTCTTCCATTTAGTGGACATAAGTGTTGCTACAATCTGCAGAACTTTTTCCTAAGAATTTTAGTATAATCTGCTTTTGGTAATGTTATTAATTTTCACGAGTATCCAAAAATTTGTCATTTCTTTTTCTTTTAAACTTTTGACAAGATAAATTAAGTTAGTAAAAGGCTCTAGAAGAGAAAGTTGCCCTTGTAGATTTGTAGGAACAATATCAACACCCACAACTCTTTAGATATCTTTCTTTTTCACTAGTAACACCAACTAAGCACAATGCGTTTGCATTGAATCAAATTTTCCAAGATTCATGAATTTTTTTTGATGTTCTTGAAATGATGAAAACTCAAGTAGATTATGGTATACAAGAGTACTTATCTAATCTTGATCCTCAGGATATGCAGGTGAATATGTATCTTGATTAAGAGTTAACTTTTAGAATGTAAATAAGGGTTTGAGAGAGTTGTAGGTCTTCAAAGTCAAAGTCTTAGGTTTGATATTTTACACTGTAAAAATATTAGAGAGTTTTGCTTCTCATTTCTCAACTTGAGTGTGATGGTATGGCAAGTATTATCTAAAAATGATTTTCTCTCTTTAGCTCACGATAATTGCTGGAAGCTGAATGAAGGCTGTCGCTTCTTGATCCTCTTGTGACTTGTCCCATCAAATTTATTAACATAATGTTTCTACAACTCCAAGGTTGTTTGTGCGGTCGATCTTTATTTTTATTGTCAGAGGAGTGTGATTGCTTTGTATTGTTGTTTTGAAATTATTGTGGGTTTGCGCAATCCATATGTTGACATGATTTTGGCTGATGGCATCACACTCCTTTGCAATGATCTTCAGGTAGCTTTACTTGTTTACAACTAATTGCCTTCAAAGTGATTGGTTGATCAGGTTACTGGAATTTTTAGTTTAAATGATTATATAAGGAACATCATCTTCAAGCATTATGCCCATAATTTTAGTCGTGTGTTATGGCTCATTATAAATTCATTTTTCAATGGTTTTGGAATTTTTATTTCTTTTTAGAAACTAGAATTATCTCTTAACTTGGTTAAATTATAGTGATCCCAGGCTTACCCTTGTCGTACAGTGATCCGGACATGTGTCCGTGAATGTTGGTAGTTGTTTATTTTCTAGTTTGCATCCTCTTTACTTTGTATATTGAGTTATAAGATGCGTTGGGCAAGTTGGTTGCGTTTGGGAGCCTAGTGTTGCTGCCCAGATTTTTTGTCCTTCGCTCGAGCTAGGAGTTTGTCGCTCGAGCGAGAGTTGTGTTGCACCGGTTCTGGACCTGAGAGCTGTCTTTCTTGGCTCGAGCGAGCTTTTCGTGGCTCGAGCGGTCTGGGTTTTTCTTCGCTCGATCGAGAACTTCTTGGCTCGAGCGAGAGTTTTCTGTGTCTGGTCGCTCGAGCGACCAATACTTCGCTCGAGCGAGCGTGTTTTATATCAGCGCACAGCAGCGTCTAAAACATCACTTTTTCACTTCTTTTCTTTGAGCAAACCCTTAATTCGACACTCTCTCTCTCTAAACTTGCACACTCTCTAAGGTTTGATCTCCCTAGGGTGTGAATCTAGCCTAGGGCCTTTGTTAAAAAGGTAGAGGGTGTTAAGAGCTTCGATTTAATCTGAAAAAGTTTGGATTTGGAGCAAGTTGATCTTGGAGTCTTCATCGTAACTTCAAGCCAAGGGCTTAATGTGTAAACGAGTTAGTACTCTTTTGTTGTAACCAAGTGTTAACTTGGAAAGCTGTAAGCCCGTAGGGCATTTTGTTTTGATGTTAACATGTAATACTTATGTAATGAAACTCAATGAAATAAAGGAATGTGGTTAGTTTATATGTAAATGCATGTCGTATCAGACGGGTTTAATGTTATTATTTTGAGGGCGTTACATAAATGACATTTGAATATTCGTTTTCTTGGCAGGTGGATCCCCAAGATATTGTTATGGTATGTGGATATATTTAGATACTCTGAACCTGCTACAAATCATAAAACACAAAAATGATTTATATAATTACATTGTTCTGAAAATTTTGTCATGTAGGATATGGCCAAAGTTCCTCTCGCTTACATCTTTGCTGCCTTTATTCCAGCTGTAATGATAGCAGGGCTTTACTTCTTTGACCACAGTGTTGCTTCACAGAAGGCGCAACAAAAGTTCAATCTCAAGAATCCTTCTGCTTACCGTTATGACATCGTCTTGTTGGGATTCATGGTATATACAATTGGACTTCTCCTATTCCTAGCAGTTGTTCTTATCTGCTTTGCTTTACCTAGAGCTTATGTTCTCTTCTAATTTATGTGTTATCAGCTCTGTTGTTAGAATCGTACGATTCGCGATTTGAATCGTACGATTCGGTTCGATACACATAGAAATCGATTCGAATAGGTACATGGAATCGGAAATGGTGCAGAATCGCATCTGAATCGATCGATTCACGATACGAATCGAAGAATCGCTGAATCGCACGATTCGTTACTGTCGCGGGTCGACCCAGTTTCTCGGACCCGAATGGAAAAAAATCAATTTTTGGGCCAATTTTTTTACTTTTTCTGGGCACAAGATGGGTCGCCTGGTCTTCTAAGACCAAACGACAGTCCACCCAAGGTAACCCATGATCCCTTTTTACTTCCAACAGACAAAACCCTAGAAAAACTCACCTCTCTGTTCGACGCAAAGCTTCGCGGTCCCTATTCGCAGTGTTTGGTGGTCCCTTGCTGTTGGAATCTACTTCGTGGCCCTTTGTATAGTCTTCGTGGCCCTTGACGCAGAGCTTCGTGGTCCCTTGCTGCTGTTTGGTCGTCTCTTCTTGCTCTTGCAATTTTGTTTGAGGTAGTACACTACCAGACAAACTTCAAATAGGGAATATAAAATACTATATTACTTTAGACTCCTCCTTTTTCCATTACTGTATTGTCCATTATCCATTACTTTATTATTGTCTATTGTGTGGACTGTAGAAGCATTGAAGAATCTGCTGTGTGGGTGGAACATTAAAAAAATATTTTATTTTTTTTAATGGATAAAAAAAATATGAAAAGCAAAAAAAAAAGTGGAGAACAAGATCCAACATGGGACCATTGTACCCGTATCAAAGATGATAATAGAATGTATTTGAGATGTAATTATTGTGGAAAAGATTATTGGGGTGGAGTGGTTCGAATGAAAAATCATTTAGCCGGAACTCATGATAATGTTGGTGCTTGTAGTCAAGTTTCTGAAGATGTTATGAATATGTTTTTACAACTCTTAAGTGGAAAAAAACAAGACAACATTATAGATGTTGATTGTTTTGAAGAAAAAAATATTGAGGGAAAAAGTAAAGGGGGAACTATGGATTCGTATGTCACAAAGGGGAGGGCAAAGCAACAAACTTTGAATCAAATGATAAAGCAAAGGGAGCCCGTGATTAGAGATATTTGTAGAGTTATTTATGGGCATGCATTGGCTTTTAATTTAGTGAAAAGCCCTTTGTTTAAGAAGATGTTGAAGTCGGTTGGTGAGTATGGTGTGGGATTGAAACCACCAAGTTATCATGAAGTGAGAGTATCTTTTTTGAAAAAAGAGGTTGATAATGTGAATGCAAGTTTAGAAGCGTATAGAAAAGAATGGAAGAAGACGGGTTGCACTATAATGTCCGATGGATGGACCGATGGAAAATCTCGCTCTCTTACTAATTTCCTTGTTAATAGTCCAAGTGGAACGGTGTTTATTAAATCAATGGACACCTCCGGTGTAATTAAAAATTCTATGAAATTGTTTGAGATGCTTGATGACATTGTGAATGAAATTGGTGAAGAAAATGTGGTTCAAGTGGTAACCGATAGTGCATCAGCGTATGTGGGTGCCGGTAGATTATTGGAAGAGAAGAGGACTAAATTGTTTTGGTCCCCATGTGCGGCACATTGCCTTGACTTAATGTTGAGTGACATAGGTGAGTTGACGGTTTTCAAAGATACAATAATTAAAGCCAAGGAAATCGCTGTGTACATTTATAGGCATGCTTGGGTGCTTGATTTGTTCAGAAAATTTACAAAGAATAGGGAGTTGACAAGACCCGCGGTTACTAGATTTGCCACCGCCTTCCTTACTTTAAAAAGTTTCCAAGATAGAAAGCTCCAACTTAGAGCTATGTTTGCATCGGAAAAGTGGGCTAGAAGTAGTTATTCTACATCTGTTAATGCAAAAAAGGCACAAGGAACAATCTTGGGAGATGCTAGATTTTGGAAAGCAATCAAGTATTGCTTGAAGTGTGTGCTCCCTTTGGTGAAAATTTTGAGGCTTGTGGATGGTGATGCAAAGCCGGCAATGGGATTTATTTATGAAGCTATGGATAGAGCGAAGGAAGAAATTGCTTCAAACTTGAACCATGTGAGAGGTAGATATAAGCGCATTTGGGAAATTATTGATACTAGATGGGATTTACAACTCCATAGGCCTTTGCATGCGGCGACATATTACCTTAATCCAATGTAAGTTTTTTTCTATTTTGGTCAAATTATTTGTGTTGTGTTGTGTTGTGTTGTGTGACTTATATACAAAATGTGTAATGGAATTTATTTATGAATTTATCTTTCTTTCTAGGTTTCATTATCAAGAAAACTTCAATGCGGATACGGAGGTGAAAATTGGTTTATTTAAAACCATTGAGAGGATGTATCCGGATATAGAGGATAGAGTGAAGGTTGATGAGCAATTAGAAAAGTTCAAGAAGGCCGAGGGTATGTTTGGTATGACCATGGCCATCTTGACAAGGGAAAAGAAACAACCCGGTAAAATTTTTTAATATTATGAAATTATATATTCACATTTTCACAACAATTATGTTGGCAATGGCATGCATTATTCTCTAACATCTCTTTATCATTTAATTACAGCTCTATGGAGGGAAAGTTACGGAGAAGAGTGCAAAGAGCTTCAAAAGTTAGCTATTAGAGTGCTAAGTCTTACTTGTAGTGCCACCGAGTGTGAGAGAAATTGGAGCACTTTTGATCATGTGCACTCAAAGAAAAGAAACCGGTTGGAGCAACAACGGTTGAATGCTTTGGTTTTTGTGAAGTATAACATTCAACTTGAGTTGACGCAAATTAAGAGACAAGAAAGGGGTGAGACTTATGATCCTATTTATTTATCGGATATGGAATCCGATGATGAATGGATTACCGAGAAAGAAGATCCATGTCTACCCGAAGATCATTCATAGATGGACATCCAAGAGTGTTTCGAAGATGATGAAGGAACAACTAGCAAAAAGAGAAAAAGAGGTATAATTGTATATTTTAATTGTTAAATAAGTTAATTTCAAAGATTTAGTTTCTATATTTTCACATTTACTTGCTCATTCATAACCTTATTTAATTTTATTAATGTAGGACCAAGAAATTTAAATGCCATCGATAGAGGAAAAAGAAAAGTATTTGAAGATGATGATGATGAAGTTGAATTGATTGAAGGTGGGGAAGAGGAAGAGGAAGAGAAAGAAGAGTTTGATGAAGTGACTATGGTAGATGATGATGAAGATGATATTGACCTTGGAGATGATGAAGATTGAAATGAAGAAATGAAGACTTCTTGGAATTTTCAACTTTGTCTAATCTAACTTTTGTTTTGTATGGTCTCTTTTTGACACAAGTTACTTTACAAGTATAGATTAGAGTTTTGAAAAGTTTAGAACTTGTTAAGTTGTGAACCTTATTCATGATGAATGTGAATTGCCATACATATATGTTGTGATGTGAATTTACATAAATTATATCATAAATACATAAATATAATATAGGATCATAGATCACGGTGGGGCTCGGACCCACATCTCTTGCCATAGAAGCGTCTTACTTATTTAGACCACGTGATCATCATGTAAAATAACATCTTTATTACTTTTAAATCTAAATATTTCATATTTATAATATTTAAGTGTATAAATATGTTTTTTTTATGTAATTTAGAAAACGTAAGTGAATCTTTACGATTCACGATTCGATTCGATTCGCGATTCAGTACATGGCCATTTCGATTCACGGTTCGAATCCCGATTTGACAACTATGGTTATCAGACTTTTCTTTGTGGACTGATTGGACTTCCTCCTTCAAATGGGGTCATCCCACAGTCTCCGATGCACAACAAGAGCCTAGTGGACTGATTGGACTTCCTCCTTCAAATGGGGTCATCCCACAGTCTCCGATGCACACCAAGAGCCTAGTTGTTCTCAAACGGAAGGTAGACGTAAAAAATTAAAAAAAAAATGGAGGAATTATTTACTTATACCCTAATCTGCCTTTAGATCCGGATGTTGAACTTGTTCTCTCGTGTTTTTGGGATGTTGAATTGTGCATTTTGTCTATATGGGCCCGTTCGTTTTGGGTTATGTAGATGGAAGGGGATTAGGATGGTAGAGGTGTTATTTAGTGTTGTGTTTGTTTGCAGAGTTGGAGAGGGGATTAGGATGGTGGAGGTGATATAGATGGAGGTTGGGGAGGGGATTGAGATGGAGGAGGTGGAGATGGTATTAGAAAAATAGTGAGGGGATTAGAAATTTTTTTATTTATTTTTTATTTTTTATATATTGGGAATTTTTTTATAAACATTAATCTTTAATTTTTTATATTTTTTTATTTGTTTTATTATTTTATATAAAAATAATTTAACAATTCCTACACTAACAACTATTATCAAAACAAACACAATTTTACTTAATCCCCTCACTATTAATCCCTTCTATTCTACTTCTGAAAATAAACGGGGCCTATATGTCTTAAGTTTTCCTTATCTGGCATATGCTTGTCGGCATTTAGGTTTATCCATATGCAAAACCTTTCGGATCAGCATCAATTACTCAATTGTTGTGGTAATTAATTCTTGAAGCGTTAGAAAGAATGCTGGAATCCTGAGAGTTTATTTTCCTTCCCTGTATTTCACTATTTCTTTGCCATAGTATTCCTGGAATTAGCACATAGATTCCTCCTAAAAAAAAATCTGATTTCTAGGTTATTTTCGAACTTATTCCAGCTATGGAGAAGCCTATGATAAGATTCAATATCAATCAAGTGAGCAATTACAGCTATGGAGAAGCTGAGGCATTGACTGATGATATTGAAGAAGAGAGTCAGATTTTTTGGGAGGTCTTCAGGATCAAAAAGATTATTGATAGTTGTCAAGATGAGGTTTATCTTCATAACTTCTACTGAATCTTTCTCTTTTATGTGAATTTAATTTTCATTTCTGTATTTTGTTGCTTCTTAAAGTTTTTTTTTGGTTAGAGCTTTGACTGATAAATGGGAGATTAAGCAGAAATTCCCTGTTACATTCTGATCCCGGAGTGTGCAACTCATCAATGAACAGAATAATGGCTCCTTTGCTTTGCTTAACTTTATCAACCAGTAAAATGCTGAATAGAATCAAGCGAAGTAATGGGGAAAAGAAGGAAAACATCACATCAATTTGAAACAACAAAATCCAGAGGAAAGAAAATTCTGATAGGTAGTGTTCAGATTTACAGCTCTTGAAAATGCTGTCACTTCCCATCTCTTGGTTTAAAAACTTATTTTCATTGCTTCTATCTGTTGTAGTGAGGAACATTTTGAACATGCGTTTGAAGGGGTATCTAATAGTTCTCAATGAAGATCTGGAAGGACAAATTAAGGGTCTATATGAAAAGTGAGTGTCATTTCATGCATATGTTTTATATTGCAAATATTTGATAATGAATTGCCATTGTAATTATAACATATACATTTTAATCATGATAGAATTTAAACATATTAAGTTGCATTTTCAATTGTTTGACTTGTATTATCGAAGTGATTGAGCAGCTGCTCTTTGAAATTCTAGATGTACTCTTCATTATGTTGGGACCTAATAGCATTAGCAATGATTAATTCCTAAAAATGAAGTGGTTATATATATTTTTCTTTCTGATTCTTTCCTTGAGCTATGTTTTACGATTCTTTAGATTTATTCCATTTTCATAATATATTTTTTGATTTTAGCGGTTTTTGAATTAATTTTTGTTTTTATTTTTCAGGTTAGAAATTTCCTGGAGAGATGCAAAATATGGTTAAAGAATTCAAGAATTTAGTTTTTTTAAGTTTTTTATATATTTTTTAATGTGTAATTACAGTTAAAAACTTTTTATTAATTCCTTTGTATATACTTTTGAACATTTAACTTTCATTTATGAAATATATGAAGTTATTCTATTCAATATATGGTTGTGATTTAAAATATAGTATATATTGTGTATTATATTCTTCAAATGCGCGTACAAAAATAATATTGATTATTTTTCAAATATGTCGAATTTTTTTTTTATCACAGGTTTTATTAGTTATTTATCACACTTAAAAGATGTGATCTAAATGTTATTAATCACACTTAAAAGATGTGATCTAAATGTTTTTAATCACACTTAAAAGATAAAAGATGTGATTTAAATGTTTTTAATCACACTTAAAAGATGTGGTCTAAATGTTTTTAATCACACTTAAAAGATGTGATCTAAATGTTTTTAATCACATTTAAAAGGTGTGATGAATCATTTTTTAATGACACTTAAAAAGTGTGATTAAAAATGACTCTTTTTAATCACACTCTCAAAGATCACACTTCAATAAAACTTAAAAAGTGTGATTAAAAAACATACATCACATAAAAAAAGTGTGATCTTTATCTGTTTTTGTTGTAGTACAGAGACAGAGAGAGGGAAATCAAGAGGGAGATACAAAGAGAGGGAGAGACAAATGCGAAATGAAGGACATACCTGGAAGGGAGACTATGCGATGATCCAGCAACCCTTGCGGTGATGGCGATAGAGACAAAACTATAGAGAAGAGGGTAGAGGCGTGAGTGAGACCCAGTCACAAAGGCGTGAGTGTACCAGTGTATAATCGATTAAATATGGAATCAAGGTTGTGTATATATGATTTGTGTATGTGTGTGTGTATATAAATATATTCATGTATGTGTGTGTGTGTAAACAGCGAGAGAGAGAAAGAGGGAAACCGAGAGGCCATACAGAGAAGGAGGCATGAAATTGTGAGGGAGATGCACAGAGAGAGAGAGAGAGAGAGAGAGGTGAAATAAAGGACATACCTAGGAGGGAGACAAAGTGATGATCCAGCTAGCCTTGCGGTGATGGCGATGGAGACAGAGCAGTGACAAAGGCGAGAGTGCGAGAGGGAGGAAAATGGACTTCTATTGCAATAAAAATAATACCAAAAAATATTTATTCCCGACCAAACTGAAATTTGGTCGCTAAAAGTTTTATGAAATATTTAATATTCCCTCCACAATTTAGTGAATGTTTGGCTACTGAATTATAGTCGGTAAAGCGTTCAGATTTAGCGACCAAAATTGAAATAGTTGCCCAAACCCTTATTTTGCACGACTAAAACACATTTGTAGCCAAAAATGAATTAATAATATCTACATATTGGTCTTTTCCACAATTAACATACAATTAGTAGCCAAAAATTAAATAAATACCTATAAAAAATTTTTATAATTTATCAAGATTGTGCAATTAGCGACCAAAATCATATTTAGTCGCCCAAAATTATATTTTTAACGACTAACAGGTAATTAGTCGCCACAAGTAAAGGCAATTCCGACAACATATAGTTTTAGTAGCAGAATATTGGACTTTTACCGACCAAACAGGTTTAGTTACCGACCAAACAGGTTTAGTTGCTAACGAATTTACCTTTGGCGACCAAATATTGTTTGGTAGCTAATATGTCTACCATTGGCAACAAACAGATTTTTAGTAGCTAATGTGTATACCTTTGACGACTAAATTTAGTTTAGTCGGGAAAAGTAGTCGCCGAAAGTGTTCTTTCTAGTATATCATAGATTTGGTTGGTGCCATGCTTTGTTTTGTTGGGCTGTCATGTGTGTGATCTTGTGGACCATCCGATTAGACGAGGATATATATATGCTTCATAGATTTGGTTGGTGCCATATGTCGTATATCATATGGTGTGTATATATATTTCCAAACTCGCCATTGCTCAATTGGTTGGTACTTCATGCTGTTAAAAGTTGGTACTTATGTTTACCAAAAAAAAAAAAAATGGTATTTACTATTTAGTATTTTTTTTTCTTTGTTCTGTTTTTTTGGTCAAAAGACTTGAAAAGTTGGTTGAACAAAGGAAAGACATTGGAAATATAGTTGCAATAGAGTCTAGGTTTGATCAAAGAGAGTGATTTGGTTGATAAATATTTGTGGGTAAATTACTATATATCTGTTGGAAAAAATGGTTTTATATAGGCATATTTTTTAACCCAATTTGGGTGGACCCCAAACGTCTTTTGGGGTGGGTCCGAAGAGGTGAAGTGGTGAAGACGGAACGTCAAAACCATTTATGAGTGAATGGAAAGATGACGTCGTTTTCGGTTTTAACATTAATTCTTTAGATAAAATTCTTTTGAATTTTTTCAATAAAAATTATTGTGGGAATTTAATTTAATTCTAAATTCAAATTTTGAGTTCCTAAGTGGTTTCTTAAAATGTGTAATTTTAGAATTTAATTTAATTCTAAATTTAAATTTTAGGTTCCTTAAATGTTTCCTAAAGTTTGTACCTCTTTATTTATTTATTTATTTAACTATTTCAATAGTTTAATATATATATATATATATAATATATATATATATATATTTGAAATAGTTTAATTAATAAATCAACCTGCTGTTCCTTTGTTTGAGCAATGAAAACTTTTTT